GCTTCCCCTCCCGCCATCCGCCCGTACCTGCTGCAGGATCCTGGAGGTCTGGGCGTACTTGCTCTGGTGCTCTTGGACCATCCGCGCCGACGCCTCGCCGATGGCCGGGTCGGGGAAGCCCATCAGCGGGTACACCTGAGGAAGATGGCATAAAATGGCGTCAAAGCAAATGGCGCGTTGGTGCGTGTAAATGTTTGCAAGTGTGTTTCGGTACCAGGTACTGGTTGTTCTTGAACAGCTCCTTTCCGCTCACGGATCGCAGGTTGTCGATCTTCAAGCCGCTGTTCTGCTCCACCACGTGATCCTCGACGTGGTTAGTCCTGCGTACGTGCACGCGCATCATCGTATTACTGCTCCATTTCATCGGCGGAATAACACGGTTGCCCGTCTTTCGGGGGCCATTTTGGGCCGTCCTCTGACTGGTTGGTCAGAGCAAAACTTGGACTAGCCGAAAAAAAACAATCTGGTCAGTGCATGCCAACAAATGTGGATGGAGACGGAACGAAACGACACTTTGCGTCATTTTCCGTAAGACTTTCCACGAGCCGCGTATCAATGACATCTTTGTGACCCTGCGTGGCGACGCTCACCATTCCACCTTCAGCTGGACGAAGGTCAGCAGTTGTCGCTTTCCCTTGCACGTCTCGCAATTGTCGTAGCCACGACCGTTGCACTTCCTGCACCTACGCGGCGCGCACATGAAGCCAGCGTCAATGTTTGGGTCGTTAAAACCCTTCAGGAAATATTTCGGAAACAATCACGTGAAGACAGACAATAGAATAATAACGACACTCGCAGGCGTATGACCTTTATCCTCTGTAAAGAACTAATCTTTCTGCAGCTTATAGAAGAAGTTTTTTTGTACTGTAATATGTTCAATGTGCCTCCACTAGTTGAAACTCAGCATTTGGATTAATATTGTGTTTGTGGAATGTGAGTTAAGCAGCAAAATCCGGCCATTTTTAGCCATCTCGGTGGGCGGCCATTTTGTCACTTGCTGTCGACTGAAAATGACATCACAGTTGCTCGTGACTCAGGTAACAACGAATCACGGCTCACCGGTTTTCTGAAGCTGAGCCGTAATTGCTCGTCGCCTGAGTCCCATCGTTTTCAAATGTATGTCTGTGTTATATTGGCCCCTAGTGGCCAAAAGATGCGCACCAGATGGAGCAGCACAAATTCTCAGTGAATTGAAGCATGAAATGGTGACACATAAACTGTTGAATTCTTGACATTTTATGTAATAGTGGTATTTATATTTTTAGAAAAGTACAATAGTGTGATTTTGCCCTTGGAAAAACGTGTTACAAGAATTTTTGTTTGTGTTAATCGTCTGGAAGAGCTGAAAAAAACATGTCCGTTCATTTCGATTGGGTAAAGATGATTGGAGACATGTTTTGAGTTGTGAGCACGATCACGGAACGAATCAAAGCTGCAAGTCGAGGCAGCAGTGGAGGTGAATTGCAGTGGCGTGCAGTACTTTTCTTTGCCTGTAGAGTTACAGTGGGAGCAGTTCAGATCGTCTTTGGTGCCCGAGCCGTTGCACACCCAGCACGCTTTCTGAAACGCAATCACCCAAAACACGGGGTAAGTGTTTCGGCGACTTCAAGCGTCGATTGGGTTGGCTCGCATCACGTACGCGACGCGAGCTCGAGGGCTCATTGTACTGTCCTCTTGAAATGGTGACGGCTGACTTACATGTCCGCTTCCCGTGCACTCCTTACACGGCTTCTTGCCGGTCGCGCTGCAGTCGTGGCAGTCCTACGCACGAGCGCACGGAGTTAAACCTGTTTCACATCGTCGTGTGGCCGCAGAAGCGCACTCACCTTTACAGAGGAGGTGTAAGGCACGCGGATGAGCTCCGTGTGGTTGGTGAACAAGTTGGGGGGCGTGGCTTGGACCTCCCAGGGTCGGGGGGCCGTCTGGGTGTAGAAGTCCGGCACCTCTCCTGCTCATTCGCAAGCACACACACACACCTGTCAATCAGCGTGTGTGCGTGTGTGCGCTCTTGTGTGTGTGTGTGTGTGTGTGTGTGTGTGTGTGTGTGTGTGTGTGTGTGTGTGTGTGTGTGCATACCTTCGTGAGGTTTGCTGCCCCACTCAGTTGACCTGGACTCCGTGTAAGTCTCCAAGCGATACTAATGAACACACACAGTGAGCATGACTGTCATTCATGAGCTATATATACACACACACACACACACACACACACACACACACGAAAATCACCGGCAAACCTACAAAACAGCGCAAAATAAAGCCAGTGGTAGCCTTTAGCATTTCAGCGCGTATGCTAACCCTGTAGGTGTTAAACGGCTCCATTTGTGTGATGACCCCGTCCGTGGCGGGCGCTTTGCTATAGCAGCAGTTGGACGAGGCGAAGCTCTTGAAGGCCTCGCGGGCGACGTCCTCAGGCAAAGACGGGATGCTAGCAGGCACAAACACACGTGACAACAGGATTTGAGTTTAGCCCTTGACAAATGAACCATTTCATGCACTTTCAATATAGTAGCACAACGTGCCCCAAAATGTCAGCAGCATTGAGCTCTACCGGACGGATTGCGGTGTAAATAAGGGGAAGAAGAGGCAGAGAAGGTCCCCAACTAAACTGCGGTAACAGTCATTCCCACGGAGCAAAGAGAAAACGTGCCCCGTTGTTGCATGCACGGTTTGTGTGCATTGCTGCTCCATGTTTTGAACTTTGACTCAAGTTAAAGTGTAACGGCTTGTACTTCTCTTCCAAGCCTGTTTAAGGTATTCACATAACGGTTCGGATTTCGAGCCTCATGTCGTGGTTCATGTCAGACTTTTAAGAAGGATTTATGGTTTCAAATCAGGGTTTCAAGGCCGGTTTAGAGTTTCCAATGAGATGGCTCACGTCCAGTCCTCGGGCTCAGGGCCCGGTTGGGGCGGCGCCACGGGCTCCGCGGGCATTGGCGGCGGCAGGAAACCTGGACGCAAACGGAACGTTGGAGAACACGCGTCCGAAGTTCCGACTCATTGTTTTCTGGGTTTTTGTGGCCGACGCTCACCTCCTCCGCCTTGGCCCATGCCCTCGTACCCGGGCATGCTGGGATACATGTCAGCGGGCGCGGCCACGGGCGGGTACACGGCTGAAACACAAGCACAACGTTAAACAGGATGGAAGGCTTTCTCTCGGTCGTGTCCCAATACATTTGCGCGAGTTCAAATAACAGGAAGTAAAGGATGTCCAAAGTTTCCAAAAAAAAAATGCTTTTGTCCAACCTTTGTCACGATTCCATTTTTCACTTCCTGACAAATACAGGAAGTAAAACGTGAAGAAAATACAGTACGTGAATTTTGACAAAAGAATTAGGACGCACTCACTAACGAAGCGAAAATGTGGACTTTGGGCAAAAGTATTGGGACGTGGACAAGAAGTGAAGACGACAGCCCGGATGCGGAAGAAAATGCGGAGATTGGACAAAAGTATTGTCTAATAAGTAAGTATTAGGACACGTACGGGAAGGGAAACGAACATGGAGAGATTTGGACACAAACAAGCGTTAAAAAAGGCGGAAAGTTGGTCACCGTGTATTGCGACACAAACGGGACATGCGGGAAACGTAAGATGACAAAAGTAATGGGACACCCGCAGCAAGTAAAAAATGTCCACATTCACATGCGAGAACGTGGAGTCAAATAAAGGAGACGAAACCAAGTCTCGGGTTTCGCCATTCTAGTCGACTTCGCGCCCAAGAAATCCAATCCGCGTGAAAATCCCCGACGGCCACAACAACACGCCTCCACACGCACGCGCGCGGAGGCTCACGCCCCGCCGCCTGCAAGCAAGCAGCTGTTCCGGACACTCCGCCGCCATATGTCGGTCTCGGCTCACTTTTGGACCAACCTTCTACACGCACACGCGCAGAAACTGAGAGAAACATCTCAGAGATTACATTCCACGTGAATGGATGGATAGCTAGATATGGATCGATAGACAGACAATGAAGGGGCTTTCGTATTTTTTGGAAGTTGGTGTCACAAATTGCAGAAGCGCCGGATGACGATACTTGGGGGGATATTATTGCTTCGGTCCTTGAAAATCAGCACGCAGGATCCTACAATGCAAAGTGAAATCATGATAATAATTGCGGATTGAAAGGCGTGCTTTTTTTTTCCGCTGACGAATTCCCACTTGGCTCATTCCAAGGTTGAATTCTTTCTTTTCACCTTTGGAAACGCGGATGCGGTCACGCGATTTGCCGCAACGCGATTGTTGCCTAATTGGATTGGTTTCAATCGAGCGCCCGAGGGTGCAAAAGTGCTCGGAAGTGGGGTTATTGATGACGAAGCGCCTTCATAATAACGATCACGAGAAGAACAACAAACCGTCAAGACAAGGCGTTCCGTGCACTTAACGTGAGCGAGCCCTCGGCGCTTTGGGGCGGCAGACTGATCTGGAATCTGCACATGAATCTGGGTGGCGCTTCGTTTCAATTTTGTTTTTGTTTTTTCTTTTTTTTGGGTTCTTGTTGTTAGTTTGACGGGTGCTTACCTGCGCTGTTCATCTTGTTCAAGAGGCAATTTGCACTGCAAACACACTCAAAAATCGAAGCGACTCTTTGGCGTGTGAGCAAAGCAGAACCGAGCCGAGCACGTCTTTCACAGTTTGTGACGTGAGGCACATAAGCATCTTTCAAAATAAAATCTAAATGTCGACAACGGGGATGCCCGGGTCTGGTCCTGTGTTCACCGTCAAGTATTTTTGTTGTGGTGTTTTGTTTATAATGGTCATCGAAGGGCGTCGCACCGAAATCTGCCTCCGCGGAGTGAATCACGAAGGCTTTCGTCAGCAGTGGACGTGTTGAGCAATATTTTCCCCATGACAAATATTTTTTTTTGCACATCATTTTGCTTCATTTATCTCCTCACAAATGCATCCCACCCATTGACCAGAACTCGCATCGACTTTTGATGCGAAGGGCTGCAGCTTGTTTTCCTGTGATTAAAGTGAACTTGACACCATAGATCCCGAGGAATGCTGCCGACGCCCATCTGACATTGATTAGACAAGCAGCTCCGAGACCACGACAATTCCGTCGTCTACCTCTTGTTCCTTTTACAGTCAAGTAATGTGTGTGTGTGTGTGTGTTTATGACTTGTTTTTTTTTCCATCCAAGCCGTGTCAACATGCCTTAAAATGCCTGTCAGGAATTGCCAAGCCTCAAGGCAAATATTTGTATCAAGACAAAAAAAAAAAAAAACAGAACAAGGATGCTCACGTGATACGGTTTCCATTCATAATGGAAAATGTTCAAAGTGTGAATGAGTGGCGTCTATGAATTTAATACGGGGGTTTGGATGACTTTTACCAGGAAAAAAAAAAAAAAGAAAAAAAAAGTGAAGCTAGTAACCAGCAGAGGGAGCCAAAGTTCAAGTGTTTGCGCATTCTTTGTTCGCGTGTGTGAGGACAATGAAGATCATTTCGTCTTTTGCAAATCCAACATGTTTTTGGTAAACTTCAAAGACAAGCTAATCTTCACCGATGGCAACAGACGTTTTCTGAAAACCCAAGAGATACAAATGCGTTTTTGGCGACCAAGGGGTACGTTTGCAAAATCACAGACACTTCAGACACTAAGCTATGTTTTGGTGAACAACTTTGAAACTTTCAACCCAACCTTCGAGTCCTCAAAAAAAGCTATTGTACATGTTTGTACACATCAAAGACGCATTGGGGTCTTAATGAAGCTCGGGGTCTTTTAGTGTATGCGATTTGGAAACACCAAAAACAATTCAGCGTTCTGAATGATCACAATCATGTTTTGTTTGCCAGCATCGAAGACACTAAATGGTCATGAATGAAGCAAATGTACATGTTTGTAAACACCAAACGCACCTGAGTTCCCAACAAAACCAATACACACATTTTGTAAACATCACGCACATCGGTCATCTCTGTTTTTATTCATATCAAAGAATCTCCAAAGATTCAGCAGAAATGTTTTGTAAGCATCAAAGACAGGACAAGGTCATTCATCAAGCTAACGAACACAGACTGTACACATTGAAGATGTTTATCGTTTCAAGAACGCTGCGTGTTTGCGAAGGATGCTATTTGTGTGTGTCAGTGCGTGAAAGAGGACGTGCGTTTGTGTGCTCACTAAGCTAATTTGTCAGTTAGCATGAGCAGGCAACTTCGAGGATCCTGGAGACCGTTTGGAGTTTTCCCAGAAAGAAAAAAAAAAAAAAACCCACTTCCTTCCTTTTTGCTCGCATGATGATCATTTACTGTAACGTCCCATTGCGACTGAAATTGTGAAACAGACATCACATAAAAAGAAAATGCGAACAGTTGTGATCAATTTCGGGGGGGAGTTCATGGAGTCCGTTATGAGCTTTAATTAATTTGCTAGTTAACATTGTCGGGGTACTTTGTGGTTCATGGAAGATTACAAAAGAGACAAAAAAAAGTGATCAAAGTGTTTATCAGGCTATTTCCCGATTCCATGGTGAGATTTTGCCAAGAATTGGTTAGCATTAGCAAGCCACTTCCTGGTCCAAAGCCTTCCATAAGTTGTCCTGAGGGTCAGAAGAGTCGCCCTCCATTGTGCCTGAAGCAGCCCGTCCGTCCATGCCCGGTCGTAAGGAGAAACAACTTTTGGTTAGGATGGGTCGCCGGGAACGGCGGCCGGCCTCTCAGGGGACGGCCAGGTCGTGGCAGCTCTTGGATCGGACCCTGACGGCCGCGTGCTGGTTGTTGCGCGCCACCAAGCGCTCCAGAAAGCGGCGCGCTTTCTGGGTGACGCTCTCCTTGCGCTTGCGGGACGCGCCGCGTCTGAACTGCGGCGCCTCCGATCCGCCGGCGCGGCGCAGGCGGATTTGGCGCACCACGCCCTCAAAGAGCTCGCTCACATTGTGCTGCAGCGACGCCGACGTCTCGATGAACTTGCAGTCGAACACCATCGCGCACGCTCGGCCCTCTGGGGCAAAAGAGAGCACGTTTAAGGAGCCGACAAACTGAACCGACGTGTTTTGCAAAACATCAAAGGCAATTTGCTCGTGAGTGAAAGTGACTCTGCGACAAACCCGACCCGCCTGCTTTTCTAATCATCGAGTTTCAAACAAGCTAACGTGCTCGTGATTTTGCAAACGCCAAAAGGCGATTTCAAGTTGTCATTTTGAGGTTGTCAACAAACTTAACGTGCTCAAAAAACGTAATCGTGGACAAAGTTAGCTTTTTTTTCTAAAACCATTTTAGGCGCTCAGTGACTGAACTAACGGCTTTGTATAAACCTCAAAGCATATTTGCGGTTCACGAGCCATTTGTTGGCCGGCATCAAAGAGGTTGGTTCACCTTGCAGCGCCACCTCCCTGGAGCGCACCAGGTCGCTCTTGTTGCCCACCAGGATGATGGGCACGTCGGCGGCCGCTCGGCGCCGCCTCAGCGCGACGCAAAGCTCGGCGGCCGCATCGAAGCTGCACCGGTCGCTGACCGAGTACACGACGACGTACGCGCTGTCGCGCAGCGGGCACGCCTCGCCGCCCGCACGCCCGTCTTCGTCCTCACACAGGACGGCAAAAAAAAACAAACAAAAACAAACATCTAAGGCGTCCATGTTTTGGTCAACATTGTTGCCACAACTAGTCCGTTCGTGTGTTTCCGTAAACATCAAAGGCGATTTAGTCATCAAAGAGACAAATTTTTTTTTTTTTTTTTTTAAAGACGGTTGTTTTCAATCATCAATGACTATCACGGGCGTTCCTGTAACAACATCCAAGACGATTTCCACCCGTCTTACCGGTTTGTCATTGCTCCACGTATCCAGGATAAGCAGCGTGGTATCCTTGCCATCGACGGTCAGCGTCCTCTCGTACGTGTCCTCTGGGAAAAAAAAAGGGTGGGCGGGGAAAACACAATCAGTAGGAATGCAGCGCTTGGCAAGCGGGTCAAATCGCTGTCAGGGGCAGACGCTCCATCAATGAGGTCAGTCAAAGTCAAAGCCGACGCGTCCGGATCGACTGAACGCCATCGACGTTGTCAGCAATGTGACGCTTGCGTGCAGCCATTTGGCCAAAGGTGAGCCCGTGTTTGGTGACGCCACCAGCGCGCAGCAAACCGGCAATGACGTTGACAAACGTCATTGGCGTTTTTTTGAGGTGAACCAAGACTTTTGTGACATTTTTGAACTCGCAATTCTCCGATGTGAAAACACATCGGGTTCATTGAGGACTCGAAAAGGTCTTTGAAGTTGGGCAAACAACACGCATCGTTCAACTTAGCAGTCTCCTCACCTTCCGGGTGATCGTCTTTGTCGGCGATTCCTGCAAAGATTCCTGCCAGGCTGCTCTTGCCCACGCCGTGGTCGCCTAGCAACGGCACCCTGTCGACACGCTCGGCGTCGTCCTCCGAGTCGGAGCTCCACTGCGCCCGGTCGTGGAGGGATGTGTCCCCCAGGTGGTAGGACGCCGACTGCCCCAGGGGAGGGTGCCTGCGCCGGGTGCTGGCGCCGCCGCAGGGTTCACGGGCGCAGGGCGGCGGCTGCTGTTGCTGGGTGGGGCGGGCGGGGGTGCTGGCCCGCCGCCGTAGGACCTCCTTCTCTCTCTGGGTGTGGATGCTCATGTTGCTACGGCGACGGCATCAGGACCGCTCGGGCCTGAGCAAATGAATCGATGACGTCATCGTTTGATTGTTTTCAAGGTTTGTCGTCTTTGATGTTTGGCGCGCGCCAACGCTAGGTTAGCCGAAGACGTGATTGCCTGACGTTTACTGAACACGTGCAAGGGGCTCGTTGTGCGTCTTTGATGTGGACAAAAATTCATCAACAGTATCTGGTTCGCCGAAAAGAAAACGGTCTTTGATATTTATGAAAAAAAAAAATGCCCATGAGACTTGTTGAAGACTCTGAGAATCACGAAATGGCTTACATTACAGCTGAAGACTGTAACTTTTCTTTTTTTTTTTTTTTTTTTAAACAAAAATCCATACCTTTGCTAAAGTCTATTTGATGTTTGTTTTGGGGTCATCGACGCATCGTCACTCAAACGTAACAATTACGATTCTTACGCACAAATATTAGAACATGACTACAAACAATCACTTTTAAATGACAGAGATAAGTAGCACATTGATTAGATTTGGAAGTACTGCAATCATGCCAAGTACGCACCAAAACGCGCGAAATGATGAAACGCGCCCAAGAAGTCGACAGGTCAACTTTGTCCGTGTCATGTGTGCGATGAGCAACATACCAGACGGTCCGTGAAGAAGAATCTGTGTTCTGTGCGTGTCTTGGGAGTTTGTGTCTTTGTAACGCAACCCTTCGCCACACTGACCCCGCAAAGTTCCACAACAGCTTTAAAAATTCAACAGCGGAATCACACGCATCCCTCTTGCTCAGTGTGTGTGTGACAGGAGAGGAGAAGCAGATATGCAGGGGGTGGGGGGGGGAGTGTGTTAAGCAGAGTTGGCTTTGGAAAAATGTTGGTCACTTCCTGTGACAAAAAAAAAAAAAAAAAAAAAAAAAAAAAGAGTCAGGCGGGATTTGTTGACATGTCTCACATTAATTGCTAACATGTTTTTATTTTCATGCCGGGCTAAAATGAAAAACGCCATCACGTCGTGGGACTTGTCCACACAAAGGGAAAACTGCGCCAGATTTAATGAAGAGCATGTTTTGCTTTTGGAAGTTAATAACGTCACACACTCGTAACAATGTCACGTGTCGGAAAGCACTTGAAAAGTTTCCACTCCGAAGAAGCACGCCGTTGACATGCCGCTCCTGTGGGTGGCGCTGTGACCGTGTCCCCGTTTTCTTTTGCACTTTCTACAAATTCATCACATTTCCAAGATGTTGACAAAACGCCGTCCGCACAGAGAGCACTTTCAAATTTTCCGTTCCGCAGCATGTCATTGACACGCCAGGCCTGTGGGTGGCGCTGGAACGCCTTCCGGTTTTGGACTTTTCACCAAATGAATCACGTCAAGGTGACGTTGGCAAAAGGCCTCGTTTGTCCACAAAGCGCTTGAAATGCTCCACTCCGCAGCATGTCGTTGACATGCCAGGCCTGAGGGAGGCGCTGTGACGATGCCATGTTTGGGACATTAAAATGAATCACGTCGTCACACGTCGACAAGAATTTGAAAGTGAAGACGCCGAAGCATGCCTACGGGTGGTGCTGTAACAATGCCATGTTTGGTTTTAGACTTTGAGCAAAGGAATCATGTCACATCAACATCACAATTTGTTTTCCTTCTCACGAGGAAAATACGTGGAAAGTGACGACCGACTCACAAATCAAGGCAAGAAAACAATCAGAAGCCAAACAGGTGTTTTAATGCCAAAATTAAATAAACGGATTATTCATTCAAAGGTAAACAAATTCATTCCATCTCCCACTTACGACATGGTGAACGATAATTATCAACATGACGCAATATATTTTAATTCAAAGTTGAATTACATTCAATGTCATTTGTATTTCATGAATTACATTTAGTTTAGTGGGACTTGAATTTCAAACATACTCAGATAATCTTTTTGGTTTTTTTTAACGGCATTTTTAATGATCAAATAACAATTATATTTTCTCGAATTAATTATTCAATGAAATTTGCATCAGCGTTGTGGTGGTTCGAATTCCATGAAATAACAATGCCATGAAATCCATAAAAATGTCACTCGGTAAAGAAAGAATTCCATGACGGGAAATGAGGAAAAGAAAAAAGGTTATGAAATACAGAAAATCAAATCATTAGATAAGGTTCTATTTTGCATTGTAGTTATTTTACGTTTTCACTCAAGTCATATTTCGAGGTATTTTAAAGGCCTTATATATTTATTTAATTTTGGCACAAACAAAAAATTCCATACATACGTTTGACAATAAATTAAAAAAAAAAAAGTTTTAATCCCCCCCAAAATGTACACCTAATAAGTGGTTATCGCAACTTCAGACATGAATTAACAATCAACTGTATTGTGCGTAAAATTGAAGAAAAAAAAAGTTGCGGCAAATGAGGAAGCAAGTGGAACAAAAGCGGCCTATTTACAATAACAACAACAACAAAAAAAGCGAACAAAAAATAGACGTGGTTAAGAAGAGTCTGGAGACCACTTTCTCTTTCTTTTTTTTTTTTCTTTCTGCGCGCATGTGTGTGTTATGGTAGCACCTGAAGTCTTCGAACAAACACTGACGGGATGTAACGCTCCGGTATGATCACATGACTGCTCCTGACATTCGCTTAGCTCAAGCGGCAACTTTCGACACGCCAGCTAGCGAGACGGATGGACGGAAGGACGGCTGGCGTCGGTCCGTGCGCGCCTTTTTTTTGCATCAGTGCAGCGAGCATGGCTTGATCTTGAAGACGAAGATGTGAAGGTGGCTGGCGATCTGGTTGCACACGCTCACGCAGTAGCGCACCAGGTCCAACAACGACAGCACCTGCAAAGGCACACTTGCCGTTAGCGCCCTCACGACGAAAAGTCACCATTCGTGTCCCAAAAAGGAAAACTTGTTGTAAAACATTCAATTTTTTTTTTTTTTGCTTGGTAATGTCAGGCTTTTTCTGAGACATACAACCTTTCTGGAAAATTATGAAAATTAAGACCCTTTTTCTTGGAAATGTCCAATGTTCAGCCAAAGCAACATGTGTCTCATATATTTCTCTCAAAACTAGCCGACTCCTTTTTTCTTCAAAAATATGCACGTTGTTGATGATCTTTCCCTCCCTTGAAAATGTACAGTTTCTCTGAAAAACAATCAGATTTTTAAAATTGAAGTTAAAACTTCAGTTTTTAAAATGTCATTATTTTAAAAATGTATTTTGAATTCAAACCATCCATTTTCTAGTACACATCCAATTGGCAGGTAAATGTCCCAAGTTGATTCTGAAAAATGTATGACTTTCTGGAAAATGACAACTTTTTTCCATGGAAATGAACAACAACAATTCTTACTTTTTTTTTTTTTTTTTTAGAAATTTATGATCGTCTTTTTCTCATAAATATATAACTTTTTGAAAATGTAATTTTTCTTTCTTTCTGCACCTCAGAAACATCCAATGTTTTTCTTGAAATGTTGATTTTTTTTTTTTTAATGCGTTGAAAGCGTATAACTTTTAAAACTACAAATCTCTTTTCCACAAACTGCCTAACTTGTCAGAAATGGACTATTTTCTCAAAAAATATCTTTTTTTTTCCCCTCGGCATAAAAGCTAAATAACTTTATTCTCTTTAGATGATATTTTTAGTCCTGAACATGTCCAACCTAAATCTTTCAATTTGACCCCGCCCCCAAACAACCGACGTGCTTCTTTTACTGGAAAGTACACAACTTTTTTTTTTTTTTGCTCCAAAAACATCTAAGTTAAATTGTTGGAAGGTCAAGATTGTTTTTCTTTGCTTTGATCGCAAATCATGTGATGGCCGTCAAAGGCCTCTTGCGTGCGCACACTCACCAGTGCGATCCACAGCACCAGGTACTCGTCGATAAAACTATTGAAATACTGATTGAGGAACAGGAGGCCCGGTCCCAGGAAGGCTAAGTCGTGCAGGTGCATCTCGCTTTTTGTCATGTGCGCTACCTGAGGAACGACAAGGACAACGCGCCGGCGTCAGACAACATTGAACTGCTCTTGGCACTGAGCCTCTTCAGACGGACAAGAGGGAGACACCGCCCGACGACTTTTTGTGGGGAACTGTAGATGAGTCGTGGGGGGGTGTTACCATCTGTTTGACTTACGACTAATTTATTGGTGATTTTGGCGGAGACGAAGCCAAAGGCCAGGATGTAAAGACACGGGTGTTTCTCAAAGAGCTGGACGGCAGACTTCTTGTAAATCATCACGGCCAGAACGATGACGGAACCGATGTGCAGCACCGGCGACAGAACGCTGGTGCCCTGACAACGCACGAGCACACACAAACATAAACGCACATTGGAAGCGCCAAAAGTGACTGCATGTATACATTTCTGTCAGTAGGGGGCCGCTGTGGATTTTCTCAGGGTGGGCTCGTCGTCACACACGAGACATTTGGACAATCTCAGACCATGCAACGTCGTTGAGTGTCGTCCATCAGTCTAGAATATGGGGGCCAAATTTGGTAGCAATGGGACAAAAGTTTCAGGAGGAGTTCTTTTTATTTGAAGGAGCCCAGAAATGGTCCATATGTGTAAAATGGCGGCTTCAAACCAAAACGTCATTTCAGGCATGGCTTCGGCAGCCTTTTTTAAAATGTATTATCTACTCACTAGGGACGAGCCGAGCAAATTTCATGTTGGCGCCGGGACTGAATTCTCTAAAGCAACTGCAGCGACTTACAGCTATGGTCGAGCCGTTCTTGCCAACACCTCCGGTGAAGATGACTCGGAAGTAGTTGGTACAGGAGAAGATGGCTCCTAGAAAGGTGAACACAGCAGGAACCATTTTCACCTGGACGTTAACAATGGGAATCTGGAGAGGGGAAACGGAAGCAGAGTTCATTTTCAATGACGCACCGTGTGATAGGGGATTATTTACCCACAGGGGTGCGAGAATAGACATTTTCCGAGCTGTGGTGTGCACATTGTAATCATGACACATGCATTTTTTTTGGGGGGGGGGTTACCCTCCCAGAGGGTTAAAACAAAACGACAACAACCATGACGAAGTGAAACCGAAATGACATTTCTTATTGTGAAACCTTGTAGAGCCACTGGAGGGCGCCAAAGTTTGTATATCTGAGTTTATACATCTACGCACACATACACAAAAAGAAAATTTATTTTGTTTTGTTTTTTTAAACAGACTGGAAAATGTATTTTCGTAATTTTTTTTGGTCATGGGTTTTTTTTCCTACAACATGTATCTTTTCCCCCCTCAGAATCACAATTTTCTTTACAATGTCATAACCCTCCTCCCCAAAAGGTTTCTTGGAAATGTAGATTTTTCTCGACAATAAATCAGAAACTCGACGATTTTTTTTTCTTGAAAATGACTACATTTTCCAAATATTTCCGAGAAAAACATTTTTCCTCCAAAATTGAGATTTTCTTGACAATGTGTGAATTTCTTTCTTGTTAAAACAAGCAAGCCAAATCATTTATCTGATGTGATGTTTCATCGTAACAATAATTATCATTATTGTTACGATTACTATTGCGAATTGACAGCTTTTTTTTTTGAGCTGGCGCACATGAAGTTAGGATGCTCTGTTGTTTTGCATGCCCTTACCAGCGCCTGCCAGAAGGCGGAGCCTCCGAGGGCAGCCAGCAGGTACATGCTTATGATGAAGAGCTGCACTTCGGTCACGTCGATGCTGAGGGACAGGACACCCGTGTTAGTAAGAGACCCGATGATGTCTCTGAGACCACCCAGAGCGATTGTGCTGTGGTGCGTGTTACACTCAGAATGAATCCATCCGGGTCCCGCTCGGAAAACGGGCGGGCAGACAATCGTAAATGTTAACATTGAGTAACACGTGTAACCAATAATCGGACTGAATTTCAATATCCCTCCCCCCCGTCTGATCACAATTAGACAAATTCTCTGGAGTCTCTAAAAGATGATTGTGACCTTCTGATTAAAGTTCGCAAAACTCGAACATGCTTGCCTTGTTCACCACACGCAACTATACGGGATCTAGTTTTTTTTTTTTTAATGTCAAGTCTGTGCATATTAGTAACTCACATGCCGAATCGCAGCGTTCCCGACACGTAGGTCTGCCAGTGGGCGCAGTAGAACATGAACATGCCGGCGAAGCAGCAGAAGAACATCCAGTCGGGGTTGGTGCCCAGCTGCACGGCGATGCTCGTTCCCAACACCACAAACACTACAAAAGTCAAACGGGGCAGCTTCACACACTGCGGAGAAAATGTGTTGCTTCGGCAGACAATATTCCCGAATCTCCGGCGAGCTGATTCTGATTCTGCAACTTGAAGGTTGATTTTTTTCGCGGGCATGGAAAATGACCTAAAATGACCAGTTCTAAAACACGCTCTTTTGCTTTTATTGTTATTTGTATTTTTTTCTTGCAGCTGTTGTTCAAATGGGCTTTATAAATAATGTTGTATTATGACATATTGCACGAATGAAGTAAGAATTGTCGTGGGGAAATTATCTTCAAAACCAAAACAATGTGGAACACTGTGGTTGGAAAATAATCCACATCAGCATTTTCTCTGACCCTTTAGAGAAGAATTGTTGAATAACAATACATTGTATTTCAATTATTTCAAAGTAGTAAACAAAAGCATCTGACCGGTGGAGAGGGAGTCGCAGCCGTGGTCAAAGAGCTCCCCCAGAGGCGAGCTGCTGTTAGTGCGCCTGGCCTGCTTCCCGTCAATGGCGTCCAGCGACTGGTACACGAAAAGGCCCGCGGCGCACATCAGGTACGCCCACAGCGGAGCCTGCCGAGCGGAGCCTCAGTTGGCCATTTTGCGGTGATGCTCAGAGTATAGAAAGCTCCCACACCCCGACGGGGTCCCGACCTGCTCGGTGGCGGTGGGGCAGTAGTAGACCAGCACCAGGGTGGTGACGATGTTGGTGGCCAGGCCGATGACGGTGATGAGGTTGGGTGCGATCCAGGCGGGGACGCGAGCCACCAGCCACTCCCAGTAGCGTTGCATCAGAGGCTCCAGCAGCGAGCTGCCGGCGCTGCTGTACCTGCGCACCACGGCCGCCGCAAATGATCTTCTGACAACTTGTCTTGCAGCCCGTCTAGGCGGTAACTAGCTGGGCATGCCACAACATCAAATAGCCTTTTTGATCCCGGCGGAAGCCCGGTTGGGCAAATATTGCGCAATCAAAACAATTCTGAACGAGGAAATGTCAAATGGACATTTAGGCAGAAACCTACTTTGGGCCCGAACCGACTGCACCTTCAGCTCATTGCGGCCAAGTCGTCAAGTTCTTGGTTGACTCTAAGGATACTACAACATTTAATCCATTCATAAAAACATATCTGCCCCAAATTTTGTTGCTTTCCTCTTACAATTTCTAAAGCAGCCCATTTAGGCGGCAACCACTCGGGCCTGGGACAACATGACAGCGTCACTGATACCTGCAAATGCTAAACTGAGAAAATTCAGCACAGCCCACAAACTTATTCATGATGGGAAGGGGGGGGGGGCAAAGGGGGGTATCCGCAGCCTATTTAGGCAGCAAACTAGTTGGGCCTGAAAAACAGCCTGAGGCAGGTTGTAACCAAGTATTAAAGCCCTTTATGCACAATATTTTGTCTTCCGGTTTCAATTTGTACTGCAGCCCGTTTAGGCAGCAACCGACTCAGGCCTGCAGCACTGTCACGTGTGGTTACCAGTGATTGCTCAATCGATGAAATTCAACCACCTGACAAACTTCCTCATAGTAAAAAGTCAACGGATTTCCCTGAAACCTGTTGCGGCAGTGAGTAAACGAGTTGGACCGGAACCAACGGAACACTGGGCTGGTTGTAAGCAAGTCACAAAAGTGCATGACATCTCGAATATTTCAAGACAAAATTACATTTGCATTGTAAATGACCCTCAAACAAATGCCGTCTGCTCTCGTCCCTATTTGTCCAGCAGCCCTATCAGACCTGCAAATTTGTGACAATACCTTGTTGACACCACCGACACAAAATTCCGAGTCGTTTAATCAAACGCCACAAGGCTGAAAAACTAGCGTCGACGGCAAATTATTGAAGTTGTACCTGTGCTCCTCCAACTTCTTGAGCTGATGCCTGGAGAGGGGGGGTGAGGGCAGCTCGATGAACCTGCGCAGAACTCCGGGCGCCAGCCAGCAGCTCGCCTCCACGCCGGTGCCCGCGCCGGGCTCCCGGTCCCGGACAAGCGCCCGGCGGGAGCGCAGGCCCCCCCCATGCTGCTGCCCCGTCGCACTCATGGAGCCCCGGCTGGCCCGCTGCTCCCAAGTTGGACACCACCTAACGGTATTCACAGGACAAAAACATTTGACTTCCCTTTCAGCCTCTTTCCAAAACGATGGGTTTCGTGGCCTGTCAAACTAGAACCCGACCAATGTGGAATTTTGGAGGCCAACGCCGTATACGATTTTTGGTAGATTTCTATTTACCCAATTAACTTAAAGAAGAAAAAAAAACCCGAATAAAATAGCTTGCTTCCGTAATTTATATGTTCATTTGAAGATTCTTTAATGAAACGCATAAGTAAGCAAATGTAAAAATGATCGCTGTGCAAGTTTGTCGTGGAACAAGCGCTTGTGACAGGTCTTCTATTGGTTCGTAAAGGTGACTACGACCTCAACCTGACTTAACGAACAGGGTCATTTGAATCATTTCGTCCAAACTATACACGAGACTTATCCAAAAGGTCAACTCGCAGAGGTCGTTAACGCTGCTTGCAGCTTGTCAACAAACCTCAGCAGAGCGAGCGACTAGCTTCGCTTTAGCCTCGCCGCTGATGTTGACCATTAGCATTAGCATCTGCTCGACGAGCCGCCACCTCACAAGCCCGCGCGGCCAATTTCTTCGCTCTGGTTCAGCACCACTCCCGCGCGGTTATGTCACGGCCGTTGTACCACGCCGAGCGCTTGCCCTAACGACGTCGCGAATGTCACGTTTGCGGGAGAGGATGACAGTCGAGAAGAAAGTCGTCCCCTCTCGGTGGGCGCCGGAGTTAGCCTCGCGTGCTAACGACCCGCAGACGGATGGATGGGCGTACGGACCTACACCGAGAGCCGCGGAAGGTCCGACGGGAGACCGAAGGTTCTTCACACCGACGCGCTGGAGCCCCCAACGGCGGTCGCTGGAGCGAAGCTTCCGAGGTCTGCCTTTCCTCCGGCTTGTCGGAACAGAGGCGGCGAATTTGTGGCGTGTGCAGATGAGTAAGAAAAAAAATCTGCGCCGAGCGAGCGCCCGCCCGGTACTGCTTCAGTGTCACCCCGTTGGAAATCTCGCGTTGTTTACACGCTTTTGAAATAATTGTACCTGATTTTAGACTTCAAGGCACAGGTCACGTAATACAATGTGCCTGGAAAATGTCATTGCTCTAAAAATAAAAATGTCTCCAAATCAAGAACTATTATTTATTGCCTCTTGAAGAATGTAATTACCTCACTGGAAGTTCTATGTGTCATGTACATCTCAGTTCATTTCCTTTATCCGCTATAGGTGCTGAAACATGCAAATTTCCCCATTCAAAAACACATTTTTGTCTATGTATTTTAAATGAAAAAAATGTTAATGTGCGTAACTATCAATGCATTTAATTCAAGAAAAACAAGAAATCCAACCTTAAAATCCAATTGAAACGATTCATTGTTTCAATCATTATTCCGTTGATTTAATTTTTCAATTTTGGGTGTCTTAATAGATGAGAGACTTTCCAGAATAGTTTTTTAAGAGTTGCTTTTAAAATATTTATTTTAAAAGTGACATCATTAAAACAATTTAGTTCCATGATTTGCACTTAGTTTCAGTTCATTTCATTTTTTTGAAAAATAAAATAAATAAAAGAATGAATTGTTAAACTTTCCAGGATTCCCATAATTATCCCATCAATTCTCCACAAGTTGTTTTTGGTGTCTCTTTTTTTTTTTTGCTTTGAATAAAGCACCTTTATTATCTCACATTATCAACAATCTTCAACGTTGTCACTTGATCTTTTTCCTGAATAAGACAATTGGATCAAAGAGCCGCCTCTGGTGCTGAAACCAATTTGACACCGTCGCCAAAGCGTGAAATTGCAGATGCTGGCTTCTGTCATGAGACACAGCGTTTTGATTTTAACGCAAAGGCGTTCATAATAATCTTGAATACAATTCTTGAATATAATTGCTGTATTGTTTTGTTTGTTTGTGAAGTGAGCATGACAACAGATGACAAATGATGGCTTATTTCTGCATAAAAGGTCTTGTTTACAGCATTCCCATGCAGACAAAACTTGACCAAAAATACTGTACATGACTTCCAGACACATCTAAATCATACACTAGATACACTATAACTCAATTACCACTTTCAGGTAGTTCATACAAAACCGTCTTCAGGCAATCATATAGATAACATATTTTTTGGGGATTTTTTTTTTTTTAATCGAGATGAAAGTAAACTTTTCTAAATGATTTTTTTTTTTTGCAGGAATTCTAAATCTATCCTTGTTTTTTTGCTCACACATCAGGGTTTCATAATAATACAAACAGGAGTATAATATAATCAGCATCCAAAATCCATTTAGGGACACATGCCACCATTTCTGATTAATATTTGCTGTTGACTCGAGTAATCGAAGACATATTTGATCGTGACACCCATACTGACTCTTTTTATTTTAATGTAAATTGATTATGAATTGGGTACTGGTAACTCATCAGAAAATAAGCAAATGTCTTATTGAATTCAATACGAAGATAATCAGTCCGCTTTCACGAGAGGCTACAGAAATTGGAGGACAAGTTTGTAAATAGCTCGAAATGGTTCATTACTGCACTTTAAGAAGATGTGCACACGGGCGACACTGCATTCAGTCCCTTTCGAATTTTTCACCCCCCGGCCCCCAACTAAGTCGTACAGCATTAAGGTGGAAATAGTTTTGAAGTGCTTGAAATCTTTTTTTTTTTTTTTTACCTCACAAAAACCTGCCGCTTGAACAGGGCTGTGTTTTAATATCGGCTGTACTGATCTCAGTGTGTCACCAAGCAGTCCGGTCTTGGTGGGGCCGACGGCTTTAGGCCTCTCGCCGGGCCACGCGTGTCCCGTAAGGACTGTTGAAGAAATTTCTGAGGAAGTTGTGTACCAGAGAGACCACATCGGGGTTGGCCTCGGCGTCGGAGGCCTCTCGGGCTGGCGCCAGCGAGCGAGTCTGGGCGGTATGCAGCCCCTCCATGGCCCCCGACAGCCAGATGAGCCGCTTGAGGCTTTGGATGTTGCGGCCACGGTCGTGCATCAGCTGGTGCTCGGCAACCGCCCGGCGACTACAAGCACAAGAAAAAACGATGATAAATCTCCACAGACATTTTCCTCTTCTAGGTATTTACGTCAAAGACCAGTTAGTTTTCAGTTCATTGATCCACAGCCCTTGAAGTGCATTTTGACGAGGGATGGGACAGTAGCGATACCAAGTGTCGGTATCGGGCCGATTCCAGCCTTATTTGAAGGTGTCAAGAAATTATGGAGGCTGCCGATACCAATCACCGATACGTAAGGCAAAAAAAAAAAAAAAAAAAAAAATCTGACATTGATGAAGTCCTCTTCGGCAGTAATTGCTGTTATACTGCAGCAGTTTGACATATCAACGTATCATCCTCCATGTCAGAAAGAGAGGTGTTTCATCATAATTTTTGCACATTGTTAAATTTTATGTATTAAAAATAATAACGTGACACCAGCGCACATCGTAGTCCAAATGCTGGCAGTCATGTCAGACCAGTTTTTTTTCCACGTCACTTTTCCTCCTCCTCTCCAAGAAATGCACATCCTCATGGTTGACAACAAGGTGCTCTAAAGTGGCCACACCAGTGAAGGTGCATTTTCAGGGTGTCACAAGCGAGCTAACACCGCATCGCAATGGCACAACTCGTGTGTTGGCGTTACCTCTGGTTCTGCTCGCAGAATCCGGCGGGGAAGACCACCAGGAGCATGAAGAACGCCAGCTGCCGCATGGGGCTGTGACACATCTGCATCTTCTGACAGCAAAAGACAAAACCGAGCTACTTTGTTGAATTGTATATTCATTGGGAAAAAAGAAAAGAAAAACAGTTTTTTAACTATTTGTATGTTTTCATCTCGGGTTCCAAAAACATGCATGGCAGGTTAATGACACACGCTAAATTGTCCCGAGGTGTGATTGTGAGCGCGAATGGTTGTTTCGTCTACGTGTGCCCTGCAATTGGCTGGTAACCAGTTCAGGGTGTCCCCCGCCTACTGCCCGAAGTTATCTGGGTAGGCTCCAGGATGCCCGACCCTTGTGAGGATATGGGGCTCAGATAATGGATGGATGGACGGATGACACAAGAAAGGTAAAATGTGAGTTACTCAATATGTGACATGTGGACTCTACTAAATTTGAATTTCCGTGATTTTTTTTTTCATGGGAGACAAAAGTGAACACATCAAAAAGTAAAGACGCCCTGCCTTGCTCCTGCTGTGAGAAGCATTGTCCCAAATCAGTCAAAACTTCAAATATAAATAATGTAAATAAAATACATATAGATTTTTTTTCAAAATCTGCCTCTGTGGTAATGAAAGTGTACTCACGTGATGGTGACAGCCGCCCCTCTGATGGAAAATGCAGACATCTCGACCTCCAGACCTTTTATAAAAAAGCTCTAACACGAACACACACACACACACACACGCACACACACACACACACACACGTAGGCACGCAAACACACGCTCACACACATATCCACTCGCATCATCAGATCTCTTGTTTGTGTGTACGAATGTTTGAAAAGGGTGATTTGTCTATTGTGCGCCTAAACCTATAGAGAAGTGGTGTGGAAGGGATGTGACTAATTCCTGGATACGAATTTGAGTGAGTGATGAAAGTCGGACATGCTTGTCGCTCGGTGATGCCGGCGGCTAATGAAGCCGAGGAGCCCGGTCGCCGTGACGACCGGGCTCCTTGGGTCGGATGGGTTTCCCTTCTGCGGAAATGTCGGGCCCAGCAACGCCGGGAACCCGATTGCACGCCAGAGGCCATTTTGAGGCGAGAGAGGAGACAGCGAAATGAATGCGGAAGTGGGAGCTAAGAACAAGTCATCGGTCACGCGTGTCAAAAAGGTTCCGCTATCGATGAGCCAGCGGCGCCGTCAATGGCGTGCGGAGGCGGCCGCGCTTAAGAGGATCGGCCGCGTGGCCCGACGCGCGTTTGACTCCCACCAATGACGTGGAGCGAACACGGCGGATGTGCCAATCCATTCATCCGCCCATCAATCATCCATTCATCGTCATGTCTATCTGTCTGTGTGTTCATCCATCCATTTATTCATACCGTCCATTGAGTCAAACTTCACTGTGAGGATCCACTCTTCAACCATTACCATCTATTAATCACCAATCCATCCATCCTCCTAAATTCTTCTGGCCATATGTCCTTTCTTCCATCTATCCGGGCGTCATCCATCCATAAATTAATTCATCCACCCTGTCTGCCAGTTTCATCCATCCATTTCAGGCCGCCATCAATTCATCCATCAATGTGTCCATTGACCATCCTTCATTCATCCGTTTAACTTTTATTCGTCCATCCATCCATCCTCCATCCATCTGTCTGCCAATCATCACCCTTCTATGGCTTCGTTCCTTCCATCCATCCTTCATCCGTGCGTGCGTGCGTTGGTGTGAGATCATCTCCAACCACGTTGCAGTATTGATTTGGCCCATATCTCGCAACAGGCTGACCTCACCCGCCATTTTTTTAAAATTCGCTCATAATTGTAGATGACCACAAGGTGGCAGTAAAAAACCATCGATCGCCCGGAGGGGAAGCGAGTTCAATGAAATTCAAATTATGAGCGTGCACAAGTGTATTCCTGTGTGTGCCTGTGATTTATTTATTTTTTTTTGTGCGCTCGTGTGTGTCCATGAGTGTTTATGATTGTGTCGTGTGCTTGCGGGTGTGTGTCTTTGCATATGTATGCACACGTTCTCGTGTCTGTGTGTTTATAAAGAGACCAAAATCTCTTTAGGTTCCTAACTGCTCGTGTGCACGTGTTCGTGTGCCTGTGTGGGCATGAGCGTGTACGACGGTGATTGTATCGAAAGGAAAACAAACTTGTCACTGGTATTTCAAATTCCAATGGCTTTATTTTACACGCATAGATTTGTATATATATTTATATATATTTATATATCATACATGGACGTGAATGAGACAATTCAGTCGCTTGATTATCATCTTTTTTGTTCAAACAACATGACAGTACAGAGAAGGAAAGAATGCGAGAAGCGAGCAAGGCATTCCACATGATCAGAGTACACCACAGCAAAGAAAACCTGCGCGTACGCGTGTGTGAGTACGTGTGTGTGTTTGTGTGTACGCGAGTGTGTGCTTGTGCGAGGGTGCCTGGAGCTATGAGAGTGTGTGCGAGTGTGACTTCATATTTGTGTGCGCGCGCGTGTGTGCGTGAAGTGAGAGAAGCCGTGTTTGTGTGAGTGCATCTGAGTCTAACTACGCGCGCGCGAGTGTACTTGTATACATGACGTTGCTCGCGAGACCGTGTGTGCGTGTGAGGCGATGTTTAAATGTGTGTTAGACTGTAAAAGAACACGTGTGTGAGAGACGTGTAAGAGTGTGTGAGCGTTTAACTGTACTAATGTAAGCGGGTACATGTATCTGCGTGCGTGTGTTTGTTTGTGTGAGCGTCAGTGTGTATATCTGTGTGTGTTTGCTGGCGGCGGGGTGGGACGTGACTATGTTGCATAGCGAAAGCAAACAGGAAGTGATGAAGCGCAGACAGGAAGTGATGAAACGATCACGCGGGACACAAACAGGAAGCGACGGACCTCCAAATAAGGAAGTTCCACGGTGACATTGGCCGTTTTGTGTGCAAAAAGCAATTTTTTTTGTTATTTGAAATGCATATTGTTGAACGAAACAATTCCTTAGTCGTTTTCCTTGTATTAAAAGGCTCGGATTCCTAAAGTTTGAAAAAACTTTTTGTTTTTCTTCTTAAAAACCCTTTTGGAAACGGGGCCACAGCACTGAAAATGTAATTAATGTGCCAAAGTGCATAAATCGTCCACATCAGTATACTAGCTAACGTAGAAGATACGGATGTTGTTTTAACAATCATAAATTAGTACACCAATAAAAACATGGCAAACCTTGGAATGTCAGTCACTAATCTTATCTAATCTTGACAGCTAGCATCATTTGGACCACGTTCTGCGGCCATGTTTGGCCATTGTAAATTAGTGAGCTAGCATGGGAAACGTTGACTTATAAGAAAGTTGCAAAGGTAATATAAAGACATGAACATGAACATATGTGACTGATATGAAACAGAACATAAATGTAATGTTGGGTTAAACTTGTCCCAAAAGGGTCGATGAGAAATGTTAGCACATTAACATAGCAACACATGGTAACGTTGACAAGACAGAATGATTGATGCTGACACCAACATAAAAACTAAATAAGCGACAACATTCACCCACTTAGCGTGATGGAGAACGGATGTTTTGATTGGAGAACAATTGGTTGACGGGTTGTGAGGCTGTTAGCTGAGCTATTTTAGCACTATTAAGGAAGGAAATAACAGAAAAGGCGTAAAAACTTTAATCTTGGGGGAAAAAACAGTATCAAACATATTTTTTTTAAAAACTATTTTTCTCTTGGAAAATTAATGCCATTAAAAAAAAGCTTTTTTATGCCCCCTCTAAAATCTACAACTCCAATCTCATATAGATGTTTTTTTATTCAGGGGTAAAACAAAAAGAGAAACAGAAACATAATCGGTCTGTTCTTGTTTTATTAAAATTGTCATTAAGATTTTTGTGAGATATTATTTCGAAAAGAAAAATCACAATTGAATCTCTTAACCTTTTCAGGGAGAGTGTTTACTACAGTGGACAGCTTATCATGTTATCAGCTTACAGGGCGCATGAAAGGGTTAATGTCACAAAAAAAAAAAAAAAAAACGGATTGATGCAAATTTAGGGAGGAATTGAAGGCCTTAAGAGTGATCAACTGACCTATTTTGCATGTTTTAGAATGTGGGAGGAAACCGGAATCCCCAGAGAAATCTGGACAGAGGAAGGCCCCTCTGCATTGTGAGGCAAACGTGCTAACCAGTCAATCATTGTGCCGCCTTGGGGGGAAACAGTCCCACATAAATTTTTTTATCATTTATTTCAATACATGTGTAATCTTTTTCAAGAAAAAAATGACAATTTTGAAATTTTTTTTTTTTTGCTTCCAGCAAAAATAATCAAACCTTGCAAAATCCGAATTTTATCTTGTAGGTTTTCAGATGAAAAGAAAAATTGTTGTCAAATGATTAGTGATCATGTTTCTAACTAGATTTGAATCTTGAAATGTTTTTTTTCCTTTAAAAAAACCTCAACCAAACAGAAAATAATGTTAATTTTTTTTTAAATGATATTTAGGGACTTTTCAAGCAAGCACCCAATCTACGACTCATCCTGTCAAATGCCGATTTGTCTCGTAAGTCAGGTGGTATCGATTGCTTTTTCGTCGGACGTGATTGGTCGAGCGTCAAACAGTCGTCCTCCAAACGGTGGGACGGTGAGGCACAGTGACGGGAGGGATGGGGAATGTCAGCCTTTGTGTGCTCGGGACTGACGGGAAAACAAGTCAACATTTGGGATGTTCCATTCCGTACAAAAAAAAAACCATGCACAACACACGACATTGAACACTCAACACTTAATTGGATCCAAATGCACTTGCTCTGGTGTTTTTGTTTTTTTCCGTGTGTGTGTGTGTGTGTGTGTGTGTGTGTTTTGTGTGTGGTGGCGGGATCAAGTAGTGGCTCAAGGTGACATGGAACACGACGCAGCCAATCGCACCAGGTCGGACATATTGCTTTTTAGAAACACGGAAAAATTATGGGTAGGTAATATTATACGTCATGCATGCCACACAGATGATTATGCTGTTTATAAAAAAAAAAATCATAATAAAATAACACCTACCATCACGCACCTAATTAGATCATCATCAGTAGCATCATTAGCACGGAAAACAAGTCTTTTTTGCCATCGACTGAGAATGTATCTATATATTTACATCTAATATATATATGTATATATATATCTATATATATATGTATAGACACACATACTAGATATAAATATATGGATGTGACATAGAAAAGTTATTTTTTTTCCAGAGAAAAGGCAGGTTTCTTTTCTGTGCTGGATGCGGATAAATCAATCATGTTCATGGAATTTTCCAGTCACATTCAGATTTTTTTTTTTTTTAAAGAGGCAAGCAAGTCCAACACGATGGGGGCCCTTGTTTGGTATGGCGGGCGGTGGGGGAAGAAGGGAAAAAAAAAAGGTGGGTATCAGTACTTTGGCAGGATTTTTTTTTTTTTTTTTTAAAGCTATGCCAGGTCATGATGATCACGATTTTGATGTGGTATTTACATAGTACCTCCTGCAGGGAGGACTGATGATCAGGTCAGAAAAAAACACACACACACTGGATTCGTCGTCCATGTAAAATGGCCGCCAAGAAGTTGTCCCGCCGCAGGGTCCGACCCCTTTGACATGAGTCGAGAGTTTGGAAAGATGCAGTCGCCATGGCAAATTGTTTGGAGATCAGCTAGATTTTTGAAGATGCTCATTGCCACAGAGATCCCGTTTGGTGAGATGCTCCTCCTGTTGCGTTGGCGACACAGTTTGGCGTTTCTCAAGTCGCTGGCAATGTTTGGAAGTTGGCAAGATGTTTCTGTTGCTGTGGCAAGGCTATTTGGTGTTCCTCGAAATGCTGTCGACATGGTGATGTTGGGAGGTTGGCAAGATCCTTCGGTTGCCGTGGAGAGACCGTTTCAAGCTCATCAAGATGGTGTCGCCATGGTGATGTTTTAGGAGGCTGTAAAACGCTTCCGTTGCCATGGAGATGTTTGGAAGTTGCCGTCACCAAGGAACTGCTTGAAGATTCTTATGTTCAACATTGCGGTGCTGGTTAAGATGCTTCCATTGCCATGGCGATGCTCTCGGAGATCCCAATGACACCATCGACATGGTGATGCTCATGTTGCCCTTGTGACACTGTCAAGATGTTCTTGTTGCCATGGTGATGCTGTTTAAGACACACTTGTCACCGTGGCACAAAGTTTGTATATTGGAGAGATGCTGTCGCCATCGCGTTGTGCGGAGATCCACGAGATGCTGTCGTCAAGGTGATGTTTAGAACACGCTTGGTGCCCGGCAATGCGGTTTGGCATCAATAGGAAAAAGGGACTTCTGGTCGGCTCCTGAGGCAGGACAGCGGCCAATCGGAACTTCGGCATTCCGACCGAGCAGGAAGTAAACAAGTCACTTACGTGGGTATGTGAGTGTTGTAACCGTGGCAACACACGCGTGGCAGCAACATCAAAGAGAACGTGAGAGGGCGGGGCAAACAAACACAGACGTCATGGATGGAGAGTCACTGATGACGTACATATCCTCCAAAATATTAAAAAGTTGTGAATATAAAAATACACAAAAGTCATAAAAAAATGAGCAACACATTTTGATATGAAACGCATGCAAAGAGAGAGACTCCCCGCATTGCCGTCAAGCAGGAAGTGGGGGCAAAATGAGCGGGAATCTCTTCATGTAAACATCATACAGCTCCTTGGAGATTCTGGCGGCAGTGACGGCCGAGGTTGTTTTTTTTTTTTTTTTCGGGCTGAAAGTCCCCCCCCACCCAAACCCCCTCTCCAAAAAACACCAGGCTCTAGTGACTATGGCTCTGTATTACATAGAGAAAAACAAAGGGGTAGTCGCCTCAGACACAAACATGGCAGGATTCCTTCTCTCCACGGCCAACTTGAGTTTATGTCCACTGAGTTTGAAAGACCAGGGAGGGGATAAAGACGACACAAAACAGTTTGTCTTTTAACATACAATGATGGCTGACCGTGTTCACAGAAACGCCAACTTGCTGTCAGCTGGCAGGAAGCTTTGATTTTCACTGACTAGCGCGCTTGATGGCTTTCAAATAGCGAGATGTGTCTAACGTGTTCGACTGTGAACTAGCATGTTGTCGCAAATGTGACTTCAAACTAGCAGGCTAACGTGTTCAACTTTGAAGGAGCACAATGCCGCTCAACGTTTGACTGAAACAGCATCAGGTCACCAACACATCTGACGTTAAATTAGCGTGCTAACATGTTTGATGGCTTTCAACCAACGTGATGTGACTAATGTGTTTAACTTCGAACCAGCGCGATATTGGTCAGGTTAAACTAGTAGGCTAATATGTTCACGTTTAAACCAAAAAAAAAGTAGCACAATGTCAAGAATGTTACACATAAAACTAGCATGCGAAAAAGTTTGATGCTTTCAACTAGCTAATGGTACTATCAGGTTTGACTTTAATGATAACCTTAAACTACCATGCAAAAATGTTTCAAAGTGTGACGATTCTCACGAGTTGGATCTTAACTACAACACTAAAATGACCAGTGGAAAAAAATATATATAACCAGTGAGCTAAGATGTCAGACTAAAACAAAGATGCTGAAACCTTGATTTAAAACAAGCGCAATTGCTAAATTATCTGACGAGTGAAAAGGGCAAGCTTACTTGTCTCATGACTTAATCTAACGAGATGTTGCTAACTTAATTGATTTTAAACTCGCATGCTTAGATGTGTGACTTTAAACTAGTGTAATGTTGCTACCGTGTTGACTTTTAAACTAGCAAGGCAATATGTTTGACAAGAAACTCGCCCAATGTCACGAATGTGTTTGACTTAAACTAACGCGCTGACATGTTTTGATGACTCTAAACTAGCATGCTAAAATGTCTGGCTTTAACCTAGTGTGTTCAGTGCCCTAAAACTAGCATGCTGTTGTGTTTTGAATTCAAAACAGCTCAGTGTCACTAACATGGTTGTTGACTTAACTAGCATGCTAACCTGTTTGACTTTATTACTCAATTTAAAATTATTATGCTAACACGCTTGATGACAATAAAACGTTTAGCTAGCATGCTAATATATTTGATTTTAAACAAGCATGGTAGCGTGCTGAAATGAGTTTGATCGGTAGCAACTAGCCCATTGATGATTACATTACAGCCGCTAACAGCCATGCTAGCACGCTAGCTCATGTCAACAGCTACTTCCTGCAGACAGAAAGTGGACAAGTCGGCGAGCACTGAACCAGAATTCCCAAACATTCATTACCGAGTTAGCATGCAATGCAACACTGATAAAACACATCATGCACGCCCCTTCCCCCCCCCTCCCCCCCCCCTCCCGCCCACTAATAACCCCAGCGGCCCTCACCCATCCCTGCTGCCATTTTCCTATTTGATCGTCCACCATCATTTTCAGTGTAAACATTCTGTCTTTCAACATGCAAACAGAAAAAGAAAAAGAGACGCTAACAAGGAAAACTGTTTTCTTTGAAGACTGCAGTAGTGTGACACTCACAACAAAGAACATTCGTTATAGAGTGAACAGAGAAGAACAAAAATCTAAATGCCTGAAAAAAAAAAATCAATAATCTCCGTTAGCCTTTAGCGGAAGCATATGTACACGATCACTGCACTTGTTTTTTTTTTTGTGTTTTTTTTGATGGTCAAGTACAGTGCTGGTTTTTTTCATTGTTTTTGTTGTTATACCGACATGCTGCTGACAACCCGCTAAAGCAGCTCACAAGGAGTTTTCATTGCTAAAAAAGGTTGGCGAGAACTCTGAGTGGTGGGATTAGTGTTTTGACTTTTTGCTATTGTTGTTTTAATCCACATGCTAACGACCTGCTAATGCTAAAACACAGCTAACAAGTAATTTTAACAGTTACAAAAATGGTGGGAATTTTGCCGCTCGTGTGTTGCGCCATGAGTTTTTGACTTAGCTAACAACCCATGGCGAGGAATTCTTCCAAACGTGTTTGCGGAATGTTGAGGAAATTTCTTTACTTAATTTTTTTAGGCACATGCTAACAACCTTTTGTTTTTAGCCACGAGCTAACAGCCCCATAACATCGAAAAACTGCTGATGAGGAATTTTTGCTGCTGAAAAAAATGTCAGGAATTAGTTTTTGACTTATTTTTCGCTAACAATAAACTACGAAGAATTCTTCCATATGTGTCACAGAATTGACAAGGAATTTTCTTGACTTGTTGTTAGCCGCAAGCTGAGAACCCCACTTACGATAAAAACAACTGATGGAGGATTTTTGCTGCTAAAGAATGTCAGCAATGAGGTTTTGACTTGTTAGCCTGATGCTCACAACTTGGTTTTAGCCACATGCTAAAAACCGTTAACAGTGAAAAACGTCTGACTGGAATATTCACAGGAAAAAAAAAAAAAAAAAAAAGGTCAGGAATGAGTGTTTGACTTGATATTGTTAGCCACATGCTAACATTGTTTTTTTTTTTGTGGTTAGCCACATGCTGCTAACAAACCACAAAAGCTGTTCATGACATATTTCCGCTGCTAAAATAAAACAACGGTGACGTGTGTGGCGGGAATTGTGCCACTAAGTGAGAAAGGGGAAAAAAAAAAGACGATGGTGTCAGAGTGAGACAATGGTGACGATGACGAGGAAAGAGGAGTAGGAGGAAGCTTAAGCGGTTGACGAGGCGGCATCTCCCGGCATAACAGAGGAGGACGAGGACGAGGAGGTTCCCGGGTGGGTTTGAATCTCGTCTCCTGACTCCTCAATGGGCGGGATGCGAGCTTCCTCCTCGGAGAGCGGGACAAACTCTGGATGGGCCATGAAGCTGTGAATGGAGCTACGCGACGCCGGACTCTCAAGACCTTCGTACAACGAGCTCCGGAACGCGTTCACCACCTTAATCTGAAGAGGGAAAAAAAGGACAAGATATAATAAATATGTTAGAGAGTGTTTTTTTATTTGTTTTGTGGGTGGATGCATTGACAGGAAGTAGGTAGCCGGGGCTGATGGGAAACCAGGGGCATGGCAAAACATGACAAAAATGGTCACAGCAGAGCTACAAAATCAAGAACCACATAAACAAACGATACACACACTAATACATCTCTTACACACATATGTCCATTTCAACATGCCTGAAAACTCCAACTTTAACGACTTAACCCTAAAATGTTTCAATTAAAGCTAACATGCTAATGTGTCTAATTTACAGCTAACACTGTAACATGTTGAACGGAACACCGACATATTAACTTGTTGAACTGAAAGCGAACCAGATAAAACATTTAACTTAAAGTTCACACGCTAATATGTATCAAACTAGTACTTCATGTTTTAAATGTGACAAAATGACCACACGAGAAAGCAAAAAAATCAAAATCGCAACTTTGTTTCTTCAACCTCCAAAGTCCGACAACTAATAATTCAGAAATCAAACGTGAGGGGGAAAAAAAAAAAAAAATCCTTCAGCAAGAATCACCCCCCCCCCAAAATGGCGGGATGTTGATGTCAGACTTGATAGGTCGTACAAGACGAAAGCCAAAGAAAGCAGAAAGCAGCACAACATGCAAACACGCTTCAAGTCATGCAACCAGCAGGCTGTCCGCACGCCACTGTTGTTTCTGTCAACGGTGACGACGACAAAATTATTTTCTTAACACCCCATTTTTTTCACGACGATAACGAGACAAAGACGAGCTAAACGTGGCTCGTTGATGACTAAAATACGACATCACGTATGTGAGTTTTCGTTGACGAGACTCTGGCGAAATTGTTCGCGTGTGGTCTGTCATAAGGCTAAAGTTATTTTGGTCGCGCTAACGTCAATTCATTAGCTTTGTGGTGTGCATCATCAAATAGTTAAAGTAGATTAAGGCACATGTAGGAATTATAACAAGAACCTGATGGAGTATTTTCTGCTATTTAGTCGGATGACGGGATGAAACGTGTGAATTCTTTCTCTTGTGTCTCATGTTATTCTGAGCTGCAGTGATGGAATCGGAGTGTAAAATCATCCGCACTGTCAGCTCTGAGGATGAAATAAACTTGACGCGATAACTGCACTCGTAATAGGAGGACCCTCTAGTCCATGTTGTTAAAACATTGTTGCTTTTATTTTGTTGATTCATTTTTGCTTCAAGATTTCTCCTGTGCAAGGAGACTGTTTGTTGTCTCGACTACCCGGCGTGAGGTGCAGACAACCCGCAGGCAGCGTCCATGCAGTTAAAAAGAGAAGAAAAGAAAGAGTCCAGCTAGGCTTTAGCCTTAGCGTTAGCCGACTCACTGCCTGCAGCGGAGGAGGAAGAAGCGGCGGGGGCGGCGGCCCCCCCGGCCGAGTTGCCGAGAGAGGAGGAGGCGCTAAGGCCTAAGTGAGTGGGACTAGAGAGCGTTTTGGCGCCGGCGCCGTCATTGTGCTGGCTGACCACCGAGGGCTGCCGGCGCAGGGCACCGGGCACCGCCGCCTGGCCCGTCTGGAAGGTGTACACCACGTCCATCTGAAGGAAGCCGAGGAGGGAGGGCGCAAAGGAGGGACGGTTACTGGAGGGACGAGGTTAGACAAAGCTGGAAGAAGAAAGTTAGACAGCGCGCGCACGCGCACGCACACACACACACACACACACACACACACACACACCCCACAGAGAGAAAACAGCTCTC